TTTTTTTTTTTTTTTTTTTTTTTGATAAACCTACTCTCTCATGTGTCTTCTTCTGTTACAATACTTTCTCCCTTTTTTCTCTCTATAAAAAGAACTATACGGAGACTAATTGAAGGCATTCACTCACACCATTTAGAAGTGAGTTAGAGAAGAAAATCATTCGTAGAAAATGGCAGAGGTAGAAACTAAGCAAGAGACAAAGGCTGATAGTATGGTTGGAGAGATTTGGGTAGATGTTGATATTAAAGCTTCTCCAGGGAAGTTCCACCATATGTTCGCTAAAAGACCACACCACGTGTCCAATGTCACCCCTCGCCACATTGGGGGAGTTGAGCTGCACGAGGGAGAGTGGGACAAAGTTGGAAGCATAGTCTTGTGGAACTACATTCATGGTAATGACTAAATATTTTATATGTAAAGATATATGACTCTTCACGAAGATACAAATATTAGTTTTAATGTCAGCGATGGATGCAAGAAAACACTATTTTTCTGTTTCGCACCAATCATATGGGTATGTCTTTGATGATAAAAACACTTAACATTTCATTTTTGAACGAGTTTTGGGTGCAGAAGGAAAGCCAAAAGTAGCAAAGGATAGGATCGAAGCGGTGGATCCAGAAAAGAATCTGATAAAGTTCAGGGTCTTAGAGGGAGATGTGTTGAAGGAGTACAAAACCTTCTTAATAACACTCCAAGTAATACTAGATAATTATATATTTTTGGGACTCCTTGATCTTTCGATCGAGTTTTTTCTTATTGTCTTTTCATCTGATTCAATTTTCTGAAATCTCTCAACAGGTAACACCAAAGCAAGGAGGACCCGGAAGTGTGGCGAGGTGGCATTTGGAGTATGAGAGGATTGATGAGAAGGTAGCTCACCCTGAGACTCTACGTCCATTCTTGGAAACAATGTCCAAAGAGATCGATGAACACCTACTGTCCACTGAGTAGAACGAAGACTTTCTTCTGCTTGTTTGAACCCTATATATGATGAGTCTGGTGCATGCATGTATGTATGTATGTATGTATGTATGTATGTATGTGGTACATGCATGTATATATTTCTGTATTATATGGAGTAATAGTAGTTATTACGTACTATATGTTATGTTTTTTATCAAGTTACAATACAAGTTTGTAACATGTTCTTAGCAAATAAAAAATTAGAAACATGTATGCGTATATGAGCTTTCCTTTTCTTGTATGTTGTAAGAATAAAAATAAAATCATACCTATGCAGTTTTCTTCTGGGTTTAAATCATACTTATGCAGTTAAGCATGAAACCATAGTTATCATCAGAATTGGGTCAATGATATATAAATATGATTATATACATCGTTTTTTAGTTATGGAACTATATACTTGGCATATACAACACCCTGTGTTTGTAAAATGGTCAGGATCTATACAAAATATTATATAAGGGGCATTTAACGTCTGCCTACCGACATCCATTTTTATACAGCTATGAATACAGTAAAAACCCTCTAAGAAGTATAATAGTTTAATCATTTATCGAATTTACAAAAACAAATTTAGATTTAAATTCTAAAATACATTTCTTATAAAAGAAAATAAAGTTTTATTTCATTTCACGATATAAATTTAAATTTGTTTGTTTGTATTAACTAGTTTAGGAATATCCCTCAAATATTCTTTTATCGAATCAAAACATTATTTTATCAAAGATTATATTTATGGAATATATCAATTATCTATTCTATTAAAATAAAGTAACTATTTTTATCTATCATAAAAAATCAGACTAGATCTATTTCATTAATATAATTTATTTGATTATTTTAAATTAATTAATAAAGTATATGACATTTTTATAAAATCTTATAAATATTAATAATAAATCATCTATAACTTCAGATATTGTTTTTAGTTATAACAAAATTTGTTAAGATAAAATCTGAAAAAACAATCAAATATTTTTTTTATCAAATAATGCATTAAATAATTTCATAATTAGTAACAAATATTAATATAAATTAATGTTAATTAAACTTTTATTATAAACAGAATAATAAACGTGCTATCTATACTATTATTTGCGAAGTGATTTTTCGCAACGGAGCTCTCACGTTAAAAGTTAGAGTGGTTAATATCAATTATACCCTTAATGAATAAAATATATAAATTAGCCAAAAATAAAACGAATTTAATACTTATTTTATTAGATAAATGATTTAAATTAATAATAATGATAAAAATTATCCATAATTTAAAATATATATTTAAAATAAAAAGATAATTCTTATATATTGTGTTGTTATCCGGAAAATATATTTAATTAAAAAATTAAAAAATTAAAAAAACACATAAATAAGTATTCATAAAAAATAAAATTTTTAATTGTATATAATTCAAAAGAGAAAATTGAAAAAAATATAATGCAAAATTATTTATTAAAAGAATATAATAGTATAATGATATATGTATATATTTGTGAAGTTATTTTTCTGAACTCACACGTTAAAAATTTATATTTATATTTTATATAGTTAAACCTTAAACTTTAATTAATCATATAAAATAAAAGATCATTAAAAAAAAGAAAATACGTGTTTGATAAAAATAAATTCAAATATATTGTATTATTCTCCAAACTAATATTATTCTTTTTGTACGATTGATTTTTGAATGTATGATTATCGATTCAATTTTTTAAATGGAAAGATAAATTTCTATATTTTTTATCAATTAAGAAGAAATGAAATAGACTTTAGATTTTTCAAAGTTTTAAAGGAAAATAATAGTTTTTTTTTAATTTGTGAATAACTTTATCATATAGAAAAGTTTAATGTTTCGGTCAAATTTTTTGGATGCAAATAATTCTTTTTTTTGATGATTTTTAAATTGATTAAAAGATAATTAAGCCCGCATGTGCGGACAGAACACCTAGTATCTTATATTTTTTGTAATCGAACCAAATCAGTTGGCTACGAGCATATCGACACTGTAACCACATCTATTAAACTCATACAAATCAGTTAACAGTTGTGCTTATTTCATGCCAGGCAATTGCCTTTACTCTGCTTCACTCGCTTGACCTCGGTTCCATCAGAGAGTTTTTGAAGACCCATTGCATGAGCCTCAAGAAACGCCTGATGTCTATTTGCGCATCTCCCATCTTGTCATGGGAAGTAAATGTATCTTTTTTTTTTGTCACAAAAGATCTTTCATTCATTCAACTAGTTAGGTGGAGGGAATAAATGTCCCACAACCACCTCTTGTTCATACAATGTCAAACTAGTCTTGGCAAGTACATCAGCTTCCACGTTTTTCTCTCGTGGAATCCACACAAATACAGTAGCAACAAAACTAGAACATAAACATTGGATATCCTTTATGATTCCATAAATTTCCAGAGGAGGGGAGGTGGTATTGATAGCTGAAATCAGTTGCATCGAGTCTGATTCAAAAGTCACGCTTTTTAATCCTTGGTTGCTACAAGCTTTCACCGCATCCCTTAGCGCAAGCCCCTCTGCAATTAAAACCGAGGATATGAAACTAGCTCCTCTCTGTCCCTTGGTGCTCTGATTCTGATTTGTTAAGATCCATGCTAAGCCCGCCCTTCTGGAAGTCTCCACCCAGGCTGCGTCTGTTTGAACAACAACTTCCAGCCGTGGCGATGGTGGTTTGCGGGGCTGAGGTAGGGGAATCTTGTCGACCCGTCTCTGCGCTTCTTCCCATTCTTTTGCAGCTACAATAGCCTGAGTCAAAACCTCAGCTGGATTCCCAGCGAAGTTGTCAAAAACAAATCTGTTTCTTGCCTTCCAGATCGACCAAATAATCCAAGGGGTAAGGGGCGTGTCTGAGATTCCGGTAGGCGGCAAGCATTTTTGGGAATGTAATTCTGTCCAATCTGCTCGTAAATCTGTTAATCCACTAACTCCAGAGTCGTTACTGAGAGGAGCCAGTCTCCAAACCTCCCGAGCAAACGGACAATGGAACAATAGATGATTAATAGATTCTGAGCCTTGGCATCTCTTACATCCAGGATCTACATTGATATGGCGTTGAAGCAGTCTTTCTCCCACAGGTAAAATCCCTTTCAAGCACTTCCAAGAGAACATTTTGATTTTTGGAGCTAAGTGAAGGTTCCACACTGTTTTTTTCCAGTCGAACTCCGTAGTGGCTTCTCCCTCGAGGATTTCTCCTGATACTTCCGCCATGGCTACATGGTAACCCGATTTGACAGAGTACAAACCAGTTTTAGTTCCCAACCATCTACGGACATCTGGTACTCCTCTGATGCTCGGTTGCAGACACAGAATTTGGTCCTCATAAAATGGTAACACCTGCTGGATTCGATTCCTGTTCCATTCTCCAGAATTCGGGAGCAAGAGGTCATTAACCGTTATATTGACCAATTCTCTTGGTGCAGGTCCCATCGGCCTTAGAGGGGTGTGGAGATTAAGCCATTGATCGTGCCATATATTGATAGATTTCCCGTCTCCAACAACCCAACCAAGATTCTTGACCAGTAGATCTCTCCCCGCAAGGATACTATTCCATCCATGAGAGGCTGCTGAGGGTGCGCTGCAGGATAATAAATTTCCTTCCGGGCAGTATTTGCTAAGAAGTGTTCTGCCTAGAATTCCATCGGGGTTCTCCAGAAGTCTGCAGGGAATCTTGGCGAGAAAAGCCTCATTAAAGGCCTGGATATCTCTCACTCCAAGTCCCCCATGGCACTTAGGTAGAGTTAATTTGTCCCAGGAGATCCACGCCATTTTCCGCTTTCCCGTTCTGTCATCCCACCAGAAACGCTTCAGTGCCGATTCAATCTGTTGACACAGAGAAACTGGCAACAAAAAACAAGACATTGTGTGCGAGGGGATTGGTGTGAGGACACTCTGAAGCATTACTAGTTTACCCGCCGGGGACAGGTATCTGTTCGACCACCCATTCGCTTTCTGTTTTATCCTTTCAACTATTGACGCAAAGATATCCTTCTTTCGTCGCCCAAACTGCTCGGGCAAGCCTAGATATTTACCTACACCCCCTTCTTTAGTGACTTGCAGTTCTGTATGGACTCTCTGTTTTAGTTCCTTAGGCGCTTTCCGAGAGAAAGTAATGGAGGATTTCTCTTTATTTATTAGTTGTCCTGACGCCTCTTCATATTTTCGGAGGATTTCCATAAGGGCTGCTGTGCTACCTCTGTC